AAGAAGGGGGATGAAGCCGAGACAAATAAAGAAGTTCATTCAATGGTAGTCAGAATGAGCGAGGAGGGGGAGAGAGAGGATGTAGTGATGTGAAAGATGAGGAGGAGAAATAAGAGAAGAGAGGAGCAAAAGAGCAAGGACATCAGAGAGGAGATAGAAAACAAAAACAAGGAGAAGTGGATGAAGAGCGGAGAGAAAAATGAAATGTACGTGTAAGAAGAGCTGAGAGGATGAATCAATAAGATGAGAGGAAACAAGAGACGAGAGGAGAAGAGAAGAAAAAAGGAGAGGAGCCAAGGAGTGATGAAGGGAGGAGGCGAAATGAGGAGAGGAAATGAGAGAACAAGAGGCAAAATGAGATGATAGAAAGCAGAAAAGAGCAAAGCCAAACAAGAAAGAAGGAAGGGAGGTGAGAGATGAAGGAAGCGAGAACCAGAGGAGGTAAAACATATGGGCTGAAAACAAGGGGAAAACGGGAAAAACAAGAGGAAAGGAAATCAGGACACACAGGGGCAAAGGAAACACCAGGGCAGAAGAGGGGAAGTAAGCAAGGAAGAACAGGAAATGAGAAAAAAATGAGAGGAGGGAAAGGAGGAGGGAAAAGCAAATAAGAGGAGACAAGAGGGTCCATCCGGAGAGTGTGTTACACACAGGTAGTCCTGTGCAGGTGAGAACTACTTACTGCCCCCTGCTGCTGTCGGGCAGCATTAAACAGGTTTCTTTGATTGCTTAAAGAGTCGATATTAACTTTCAAAATAAGTCAATGTGCTCATTTAAAAAGCCCGTGAATTTTAAAGCATGAAGGTTAAGATAAGCTAACACATGATAATAAGTACTTTAATGAATACATGAATACATTTTTGTCTTGTTCTGTTGTGTTTTCCTTTGTTGACTGCTAAAATTTCGTAAACTGCTACATTCATAGTATAAAAAAATAAGGATTCATGTATTTTGCATGTACTATAAAAAGGCAAAACACTGAAACAACATTCAGTTTGATTTCTGATTGAACTTGCACTTTTGCACAAATTTGCAGTTTTCTTTCTAAACTGTCTAGTATTTGAATAAAAGCAGAAAAATGTCTATAAAAAAGTACATTCAAAGAAAGATGTTTCATGCTTCAATGTGAAAAGGTTGAAGAATACTAGCAGCTCATTCAGTTCTCAGACTTTGTCCTAGAATAATAACGATTTAAAAGGAAACACAGTAACATTTCCAGTTAATTCAGAGTGCTCACAAAACAGGGATCAAACAAAAGAACGTTTC